TGAATAAATCTTTGATCTTGGACCTCAAAGCACTCACCAATCTAACAAGAGATTTCTCCTTGAAATCTCTCCCAGACTCTATCTAATGAGATGATTCAAGTGAAAAGAATGACCCTCAATTTGTAGCCAACTCAGAAGACCTTAGATCCCTGATCAGTTGTTTAAAATGTGACCTGAAATCCTACCCACATTGTCCATTTTGGTGAGAAATGGTCAGATGGGTTGTTTCTTCTTTCGTTTGTCTCATTTGTCCACTGTCGAGTGGTTTTCACCCGATCCGGTCCGCCTAATAGTGGCCCATTTCCAGCTGTGAGAATCGGTCCGCAAATAGACTATTTCTCCCTCTCAAAGATAGCTCCTCTCCTCCCCTATATTAAATGCAGCTACCATCTAAAGATCATGATTTTATTAAACTGCATAGAGAGAGAGAGAGTAGAGAGAGAGAGTGAGAGAGAGAGCGTGAGAGAGAGAGAGATGTGGAGGCAATGGAATCATAAGAACTGTTCTATACTTGAGATGGCATTGCACATGGGGTTTCGTCACCACTTAAGGAGTGAGAATCGTGAGAACTGAGTGGGTCATCCATACTTCGACATCGTTCTTCCCATCCATGCGGTACTGTCTGTCAGCATCACTTTATCACCGACAACTAGAATCAGCTAAGAAGATAATAATCAACTTTAGTCATAGAAAAAAAACCACCACAATTTGTCTTTTTATCAGTTCTATTTCCCTTCCCCGTGGACACCATCATCAACATTATATAATACCGTGTAAACATATAGAATAACTAATAACGTAATCATCTGCTATCAATGTTCCTTAAGATTAATGAGAATCTGCCTTTAAGCAGAATAGCTACTTAGGTTGGTCACTATTTCTGCTTTCTTCTACGGGTGATCTTTTTCCGGCAAGAAAGTGAGTAGCCATGGATATCGCTAGAAGACTTGAGAGAATTGAGCAAGCTTCAGGTGGAAGACGAAAAGCTCCAACGGGAGCAAATGCTGGGTGCGTTCTTTCATTTGTTTTCGATGAATAGAAACGTATAACTGCATTCAAGGAGGTAATACTTCAAGCATTAACTATTGGATTAAAATCTACCTTCCACCCCTGGTTTTGTATCTAACGACCATATTTGTAGCATTGTTTGTCTACTTTTCCCACTAGATATCCATACTTTGGAGAGTTGGGGTGTCAACAACATAATAATTTGCATATTTATGCACTACTCAATGAAGTGATGTGTTCTTTTCTTAATCTAATTGTTTTCTTGTGTTTCTACTTTTTCCGTTCTTGCTAAGTCTGTCTGTCTTCAAGCTACTTTCCGATAATAATTCTGTACATATTGTAGGCAAACGTATAGGGTAATATTTTGAAAACAGACAGACCTTTGGTCTATTAAGAATAGCACAACTTGTGAGGAGAAAGAGAAAGAAAGGAGAGATAGAGAGAGAGAGCTGGAACTAGACTACTTTTCTGAAACCTTTTCGCCAGGACCACCCCTCGGAATCCAACTATTAATGTATGTTTCTTAAAGCGAATCCAATAACAGAAAAGGACAACATGAAATAAACAAGGTAGCCGTTAACTAGTTTTGGAAAGGGTGTGCTATTTGAATCTGGCCTCTGATTTGACACTACTGAAGTCCATTGCAGTCTCGAACTTTATCCGCCTTGAAGTATATCTCCATCATCTATCCCTTGGTACGACAACGCTGATGTGATACTGAATCTGATTTGTGACGTAGTTGTGAACACACGTGGTTCAATCATTCGCCATGTATTTTTACGAGTGGTACGGTATTCAGAAATAGTAACTCTTTTAATGAAAAAAATTATATGATGTGATTTTAAGATGTGAATGATGACTTATTAGAAATAATATACAGAGAATATCATGAGCTGATTTATATCCTGGTAGGTTTATCCTTGTATTCCATAGTTTATGGCTGATAATCGTCACGAAAATATTTCGTACATACAATAAATCTCTTGGATGTTTTCAGAAGTTTAAGTTTTTGTCTAAAACCCTAGTCGCCACCCATGGTTTGAATAAGCCACATAAAGCTACGATTTCAAGCATATCTGTTCGGAGGTTAATTTCTATGCAGCTGTGGATAAATAAAGATAAGTTGCATATGTATTTATGGACGAGTGATCTGAACTTTGTAACTGAGCAAAATTCTTAAAAGGAATTTAGTACTGACGCAGAGATATTTGGTTGGTGTCATATATTGATGCTAATAATGAAGGAAGAAAAGGAGCTATCATCCTGGGAAGACAGTAACTCACCCTATCGCCCTTATTAATACTGTTGGAGGCGTCTTCGATGATTACGAACATATTCTGAAGTCGTCTCTCGTATGCGCTACAAGTCTCCCATTGAAGCTCATTTCGCGTCACACCTTTGATACTACTTTCACAAGTTGCTCATATCAGATACGAGAATCATGTGGAAGATGAGAAGGTCGATCATATATGGGCGAAGATGCCAGATTTCGAGCTTGCTCTCGTCAGATAAGGTCCGCATCCATCTGATCGATGTCTCTAGTTTCATGAGAAATAATAGATGAAATTCGAGGTCTGCGAAAAATGAGGACAGCCGTTGTTGCTAGTTCATTGCTCGCTGTTCAACTTGAGATCTCCTTAGATGCATATCCCGAGATCCACTTGCCCCCTGGTGAACTTTTTCTGTCGTTGGGATCAATCTAAAAGTTGCTTCAGCGAAGACGGAAAGTTTTCAAATGCGGAAGGAGACTAGATTTTTATTCGTCTTTCCTCACTGCGAGTGTAATAGCATTAGTCCACAGGGAGAAGTCGCCCCTCCCTACTCAAAGTGTAGACATCCGTAGACCACAACAAGTCTTGCTGGATTATGAATCGAGGCTAGCGTGGGAGAGCCAGAAGTCCCAGACGATCAGAGACATAGCTTTCTATCGAATGATGGGATTCCGTTCTAACGCAGGGTTTGAATCGTGTACGTTATCCCTATTGACCCCCGGTTTTGAATCAGAAAATTCTTGGCAAGTCCGCTGCGCAATAGATTGAACTTACAAAAAATGATTTCCAGCTACCCAAGATCTTAGTTCGCAATTCGAAACCTTCAATAACGATGTCCTGCGCTTGTCTAACCAAGAGGAGATGACACGTCTTACTTCCTTTGTTCTGTCCTGGGAGACTCACCGTTGGCAGGAAGAGATCGGCGGCCGATGCACCGGCGTATTTCTTGACCATTCAATTGTACGTATTGTTATTAGAATATAAGAATCAAGGATAATGACACGTCAAGAAAACCCGTCATCGGAACATTTTTAATAGAAAGTCGACGATCAAGCCATCCGCCGGTGAACAATAAAAGTCAAGCCTAGTACCCGTTTAACCTGCGTTTCAAAACCTTTGTCCAATAAACTAGAACGCTCCAGCGAACCCAACTTTGACCTGGTCGATACATTGCGTCTAGAAATCTACTGTGGTAGAGATTGTTCATGCAAACCTACCTTTTGATGGTACTCATACATCGGAGATCTCGTCCAAGGTGGCCTTCGTCACCATGTTGAAGTTTGTTTCAACACTTTTAGGCACTCCCATCAGCAAGGTCTGGAGGTCCTCAGTTCTTCGAATAATCTCCGACAGTGCAAAAGGAACCTGAGATTTTCTAACACGAGACGTTGATGAGAGTCCGACGACCTTCTTCCTGGGAGGAGGCATGATTCGGGTGTCAATGGGCCTTGCGGCTTTATAAACATCTTCTCAAGCTGTATTCTCAAACAATGCCTTGCTACCACCATGGAAGAGTGACTCTCAGGAAATACCGCTAGACTTCTGCTTCACGATTTGATGCTCCCGCTCCTGTGCGACTGGACTGGAAGCAGGAATTATCGTCTCCTTCTGATCAACATTTCTTGACGTGATATGACAATGGCGACCCAGCTCAGCGTCGTTCAGATATTTACGCGGCGGTGCTAGGAGCTGGCCGAGCTTCTGCAGCGTGGCCCCCCGGAATTTCCTCTCATCTCATTTCTAAGTTCATTCCGTAGGTTACCTACCGGGAGATCTGCTTCAGCGTGAGTAAGATCGGGATGAAGATCAAGCCTCCTGCAGCAACCATCGCCCTGTCAGATCCCTCTCTCTCTCTCTCTTTCTCTCTCTCTCGCTCTCTATCTCTATCTGTCTGCAGCTGAGCTGCCAGCTCCAGTCCGAGAGTTATAACCTTCGCCGGTAAAATTCGTCGTGGGCTTCTCCCCCCCTTGAACGGCCCCCAACGTCCAGTTTCTGGCCTGTTGCGGTCATAATGCGACCGTAAGGGCGGTCCAGACAGAAGAGGAAATAAATCAGGCAGAGGGCGCGCATTCCGATGATATGGAAGGAGTCAGCGGATCACTGGCGGAAAACAGCAGCGGCTGCGGCGGCCGTCCGATCGGCCTTCGCTTAACTCCGAGGATCATGTCGTCGAACGGCCGACAGCTGTACGCGGCCCGCGAGAGAACGCCACGTCAGAATGGGACCTGCTTTTCGCCATCAGCCGACATGGCATCTCCCTTGAGCATGATGGTAGCGGATGGCATGGATGGGCGGTTTCGTGGTGGCGACGGAAGGCCCCACATGACCACTCGGCTCGGTTTTTTTTAATTCCGGTCCCTTTCTTCGTTTGTTTATAAGTTTTTATATTCTCTCATACGTCGCTGTCGGTCATAAGTGGAGAAGGAAGACCGAGGTGGATGGCGGGAAAATGTAAAATAGGAGCGAGAGAGAGAGGACTGCTAATCTTTCTCTCTCCCCAGAGCATTTATTTCTTCTTTCTCTTCCACCCATCTTCTCTCTCTCTCTCTCTATCTCTGCGTCTCTCTCCTGAAACTTCATCACCGGCACCATCTCGTCTGCCTCTTCTTTCGAGGACGGAAAGATTCCTGTACTCACGCCTCTCCTCCCTCCTATTTCCGATACTGCGAGTTCTCGCGGGTGGTAGTGGCGGTGGCAGCGGTGGCAGCGGCGGAAGCGGCCATGGCTGTTGCGTTCGGGGGCTTCTCGATTCGGTAGGGGTGCCCCATCTCAATCATGTTCCGTGTCCCTGTGGCCGTTGTTGTGTTTTTCTCTGTTGTTTCTGAGTTGTGAGTCGGATGCAGCGAGTACGCGGCCGGAATGAGGAACGCGGATGCCAGCAAGTGCTGGCCCTTTGATGGGGAAGTCCGGGAGAACCGACTGCCTCCAATCCATTGCCGCAAGTATCGGTGGTGGTCCTCGGAGCTGCAGATCGCCAGATCCAGCGAGGCATGCGAACGGCCGACGGACGCCGTGGAGCAACCGTGCGCGGCGGTCTCTTGTGACGTCTCCGCCAGGGCTGCTGGGGGAGAGGAGGTCAATGATGGCGAACCTTCGCTAACGAGCACAAACGCAGCGGTTGCGGATCAGCCTGGGGTTCTCTTCCTCTCATCAAAGACATCTACCGCGGACGAGGACGGAGAGGGGCAGACCGGGTCTCCAGAGAAGGCGAAGACGAGGACTCCGAAGAAGAGATCTATCGTGGAACTTTTCGCGGTGGCGCCGGAGGTCAGAGACGTCGGAGACGAAGAGAAAAGCGATAACGGTGAGGTAGTAATCCCTGAAGTTGAAGCTTCCAAAGAAGACGTTGACGATGAAGAATTGGACTGGTGTTCTATGGAAGAGCAAAGAAAGCGCAAGAAAGAGAACATGCAGATGCCGATGAGAAAGAGGACTAAAAAGAATTTCGCAAAGAAGATCCAAGCCAAGGAGCGGAGGGTGATGAAGAAGATGAAAAATAAGAAGCCAAGGTTTCTGACGAAGCAGCAGAAGCGGGAAAACAGCTTCACAATCGACGTCGCCAAAAAGGTAATACCAATTCATGGAAACATTTCGAAACTTCCGGCAGTAATTTGGACTTAAGGACTAGGAATGTGATGTATGAGATCCACGGTGTTTGTAGCCATTCTATTATTTTCCCTTAATGCCTCAACCCATCTCCCTTTCAAACTTGGAACAGTGGTACGTACGAAAAAGTTAACGCGTCGATCATGAATAACTTCACATCCGAGCGAACCACTTTATAGTTTTACTGAGGTAGATATGGTTGTCTAGAAGTTTGTTGTCCCATTAAGTGGTCACGGTATCATCTTTTTGGATTACCCATGGACTTTCTTTGTTCCCAAGGTGTAAAAAATGTTATTATTGACTTATAAAACCGTTTTCGGAAATGCTTCCAGGGTCGTTGCTCCACGTTTCAGCATCTACATAATGCAATCATTTCGTTGTGATACTCCATGTCATTTCACGTGGAATGTGAAAGTATTCCACTCACATATGATCACGCTTGTTGAGGAAATTACTCCAGAGTTATATTTTCTTTATGAACGCTGGGTTGAGCTAAGAATCGCCTCGTACTTGTTCACTTAGCTGTTGCCCATGGTTTTCTTATGTGGTGCACATGGTGGTACATTGGGAAACGCGAGGGTGAAAGGGGAAAGAGATCACCATTTGCTCGTTTTTTTAAATATCCTCTCGAAAACTTCTCATGATTCACATTAATTTCTGTCATTTTATGATAAAAGTAATGCTAAGTTCATGTTTTACTCCGAACGTCTACGTATCATCGATGGATGTGGCACATTCATCAGATATTCTGCCCTTCCTACCCAGCTTTTCCATTATCACAGGGGGAATATTCTTTTATTTCTTGCTTTAATTCCGTCAGAACGCTTATCATTCTTTTCATGTTTTATCTCCAGCTTGTGTGTGAATGTATAACTCTCAGTTTTTGTGTTTCAAATGATTTGATTAGTCTGTTTTACTTCTGACTTTTTCGCACAAAAGTTCGATTCCATCACGCTCGTAAAAAACATGAATTGTGGTAATCTGTTTACTCGTGAGGAAAATAAATAAGCCATAGAGGGAAAGGAAACATCAACTGGGTAAGATGGAAGAAATCTTCGGCGAATTGATTAAAGGTCTACCTAAGGTTCCCTATATTATTACAATCTGGAGAACTTCTTATCAGGATACCAGAAAAATGTGCTGAGCCTTTATGTGTAATGACTTTACAGTTTGTCACTGTTACACTTGAAACTCATCTAGTTTCTGGATATTACCAATAAGATAATAAGTGTACAGTCTTATTTGCTTGAAGAGGAATGCTAGCGATTCTTCTATAAGATATCGCGTCACCACTAAGCGCTTGTGATGGGAACGCTAAGCTCCATCTCATTGCTGTCCTATATCAGGGAAGGAACTTTGTTCATTGGCCGTCATACAGGCATTATATTCTCGACCTTGTTATTATTCTGCCTATATTTTTGTCATGGTAATCTTGGTAATTTCAACATGTTCTTCGACATTGGTCAGATTCCATGGATTGCCGAGTTTTCGTCCACCATCCCGGCCTCACGTTGAGATAGTGACCTTGTTTACTTTACCTTGACTATCGGGATCACATGCGGTTAGATTTGCCTTGGTCTTTCTTTGTGACTGCCAAGAATGCTTATTTTACCCTAGTTGATGGATACAGCGTGGGTCTGTGACAATTGTTTTTGTGAGGACAAACTCTGGGGAAAAATTTTGCGACATTTTTGCGATCATCTATGTGGGTTTTTTGCAAAGCAACTTAGATTATTGTCAGTTTAATTTTCCCTTTCTATTTTTTTCCCTTTGACTTTGATAGGTTTTGGTTAACCTCTCTTCTCTCTCTTTCTCTCTCTCTCAACGTATATTTGTATCCATACCTCTGTTTCTCTGTCTTTGTCCATCATGACACTGGATTTAAAAAGAAAGCAATAACATGGTTTTATGATGATATGAGGATGTGTCGTTATACCTGGCCTTCCATTAACTAATGGCGGCTTTCTCAAATGGATGCTCTTTTTCTCGCGAATTGATGTGTTGAGTTGGTTTCCTGGATTGAACTGGACTTTGTTCTTTTCTTTGCAAATCTAGGAGGTGGCACATACTTCCTTTATTGTTGAGTACACAGTCATAACCTGATGATTTTAGGAATGGGTGAAATTTTTTCTTGATATCTGACGTTTGATTTTTTGCCACAATATATGTCATTAAGATGCAGCTTTAATAATTGGTTTGATTTTCATGTCCACCATCTGATTGAAGTTTCCTTTTTATCTGACTGGACTGAAGCTGAGAATGTTCTTTTAGAAGCGACATTCATCACTCCGCGTTGTGTATTCTTCTCACAAAGATTACTTCATCCACAAGTATGTGGAAAACTGTGTCCGGGTGAAAATTAGCTCTACACATTTAGAAGTCCACAGATGACATGCAATGAAGGGACATAAGATGATTGATTAGTTTGTCTCAACGAAAAATGCTATAGAGAAACGATAAGATGTAAGAGAATAGGGAAGATAATGTTGCCGATGACAGAAGAAGGAATGTGAAGAAACTTGGGACGGGATTGAGTGCGAGAACTAGGCCCTACAGGATATGGTGAGAGAATATTATTTAGGCTAAAGAATCTGAGAATTTCAAGAGTCAATCCAAGAATTTATGGAAATTTGATGACTTACGCTTCTCCTAGAGTCTAGTGAATTATCTTTTCTGCAGAAAATAAAATAATCGAGGGACAGGAATTTCATATAGGCTTTCTAGAAAAGAGATTGCTCAACTATGGAGAAGTGAACGTAGATTTTAATGAGTTTAATATGAATAAGTTACAGGTGTAGACATGGCCTTAAAGATGACCACTGAGTGAATGGACCAACCTAATCAGATGAAGGAAAATGTCGTCCCGTATTTTGGAGGCACCATTTGAAGAAGACTAAGATGGTTTGCTTGATCAAAGGCACGAGATAATAGTTCATCATAAGGGAGAAATGATGATGTTCGAAATTTTAATGATTACCCGAAATCATCTAAGTTGAAGAGAAAAATGACAGTCTTGTCGTCAGGAAGCTTCACTTATTTTTATGCATGTTTTTCTAGGATTGCCAAAATCAAGCTGAAGTTTCATTTATTTTTATGCATGTTTTTTTAGGATTTGATAACCAAATGTTTACTCCCGTGGTCATCTGATTTTGAAAATTTTCCTCTCTCTTAACATAAATAGTTTAAATCTAAAAGAAAATTTATAAATCCCAAGCTTTTGGGGGAGAAAGCTTCTTTATCTGATTAAAATGTGAAGCCTGTCATACAATTCCTTTTCGAATATCAGAAATTTTCTCCGCCCTCTTTGCTATTCCTGATTCCAGTAGCTTTACACTGAAATTATTCCTTTCTCAGGAGTTCTAGATTGTATAAACTTAATTTTTCCTGAGACTGTGAAACTATCCTTTTTGTAAAACCATATGGGAATATATTTGACAAAAAACATGATTCCAATCCCCCAAATTTTTTTAATCTTTTTTCTTACCAAGTGGTTGTGTTATTTAGTATATGCTACGTAATAAATTTACCAAGTAGAAGTATATAATTAATTTATGGTGTTGCATTTCTTTGTCAGGAGAAAGTCTGTCAACTCAGTTTGCAGTCTACCGCTGATGTCTCTCGATTGCCTTGTGATTCGATAGTTCCAAACAGGTCTGGGAAGAAGATCATAATCCCTGTTTGCTTACAGACAAATAAGCCAGAAAAAGAAAAGAGTGCTCCAAAAGCAAATAAAATGAAACAGCTTGTCGAACCAAAAAAGTGTCATATTCGCAGGATTCGCAACAATCATCAGACAGATGCCTCTCTTAATCTTGATAAGATACAGAAGACAGATGGTCTGCAGAATGGTGATCAGTATCCTTCTCAACGATCAGGGAAACATGTGCATTTTTCAGGAAAGGATAATATAATTGTCCAAGGGGAAAAGCATTCTTCTAGTTTAGGATCACCTCATATGCAGAGCCTTTGCAGAGTTTTCTCTGATGTATTGACTGCCTCGTCAGTGGCGCATAGAACACCTGATGATAATAACTTTTCAGAATCTAAGGAAGAGGATCAAGTAGTGACAGCAAAAGAAAGCAGTGGTTCTAAATGTGAGAGCAGTGGAAAGACGGATCAACCTTTGCTGTTGCAGAAATCAGTCGATGTTGATGATCCGACCAATCCTCATGGTAACCATGCCAAGGGGAAGACAGGTTTCGTCGATATGGTTGATCTTAATGACCCTGTACAACCATGCAGCAGTCCGAGTCATCAAGATCCTTGTTGCACAAATGAGGCTCTCAATGAATGTCATAAAGTCAATACGATGGCAACGAATTCCAGTCTATTTGAAGAATGTATTTCTCAGAATGTGAATGACAAAGCAAAAGTCTCTTTAACAGGTACCGATGCTTGTGGCAGTCTTCGTTCAACACCTGCTGTAGTGGTTCCACTCCCCCTCGTAAGAAATTCAAATTCAGAGTTGGCAGCATCCTCTTTGTCAGTAGATACGGCAGCAAAGAAGAGAAAATTATATCCGCTTGATAGACCTAATGACGATGCTTATTCTAGCGCACAATCAAAAAATTATTGTCTTCCCAAGGAGAATATGATGAGCACCATCTGCCAAACTGGGTTAATGAAGGAATTATCCCAAAAGGACATGATCCCTCGAGAATCAAGAGTAATGGTGAATCCATTGGCAACATTTCTTGACAAGTATGCCAACAAAGATGTTATTGGCCTGCCGCTTAATTCACAGGGAGAGCTCATACACATGCTGTCAAGTTCCCAGGTAAGATCAGAGGAGCTACTTAAGAAGAAAAATAAGGTGCAAGGCCCAGTAAGTAGCTTGTCGGTGCATAATTTTGTTGAACTGTTTTCTTCCGGTCATCATAATCTGGAGGGCAATGTTCCACAGCCTTCAGTGCCCATTGAAGATCCTAGGAGACGGTTTCCAGAGAAGCGTTACTCCAGCAACAAGTCCATTATTATGGCACCTTCTGGTTTTAGTGAGCATCAAGGTACCAGCCAGACTGAAATCAGACATGAGTCGGGAAGAAAATATGATCAGCGAGTGGTAAATGTGAATGTTATAGAGAATCCTCTCAGAGCTCCTTGTTATGGCTTCAGGGAACAAAATGAGCTTCGTAGTCATAATGATAGAAACACAGCTACGAGAGGAGAAGCTTCGGAACCTGGTTTTCAGCCTCAAACTCTGCCGACAATGCGCTTGATGGGTACAAATGTTACAATTGGTAGAAGTACCAAAGAGCACCGTGCTTTAAGTGACATCAAAACATGGGTTGACAAAAAAGCTATGACTGGTTTTGCTCCAAAATTAAAAATACCTGAAACATTTTCAGAACAGGACCCCCCTCCAGAATGTGTCGCCCGTCCGACATCTGATTCCCCATATGAAAATCTGATCCGTCCACTTGAAATCCAAGAAAAACCCAGCACATCTAAGTTTTACCACTTGGCATCTGATCCCCGATCTGATCATGCTCTCTTTGTCAGTGAAGAAAGAAGCATGCCCGGAAATGATTGTCACTCAGCCAGTTTAAGTCGCGGTTATAAACCGGAGAGTTTCAGCTATCCACATACGCCTAAGGCATGGCTTAGTATGGCATCTGTCTCCGCTAAAGGTCGTGGATCTAGTCATGAATCTATCAAGATGGGTCTTCACGCGCCAGCGGCAGTATGCAGTCAAGAAAATGTTCGTCAGCATTTGCTTCTAAGCTCCAGCCATTCCAAACATAGTGAGAGCCTTCCTTATGGCAGGATGCAAACATTTTCTCCGTCTGCTCCACTTCAAGACCCGGATCGTGGAAATTATCTCCAATTTCCATCGACTCAGTTATCATCTCAAGACCTTCCTCATTGGCTGGTGAAAGAAAGGCCGCACAAAAGCACTCCCAAATCTTCTGGTGCACGTTTCTGTAACTCAGTGCCCAAGCATGGTGAGTCATTAGGCAAGTCTGGAGCCGATATGTTTTCTCTGTCTGGTCGATCTTTCTCGCCAGTTATGTCCTTCACTTCGTTCGGTGAGGGCTCTGACATGCGCTTTCTAGACATGCGCACAGCACCACCAGTCCAGTCTTCACATATCCCGTCATTTCAAGCAGCGAAATCCAATTCCACAAGTAAGACATGCCATTGGACCACGTCCGGCGATGGCGATTCCCAGAAATCCAAGTATACATCCTTAAGATGCTTTGATTGGATCGATAAGACCAGAAAGCCATCTACATCGAGCAATGGTGAGCCTGTGAAACCGGCGAAGAGATACGGCGTATGTCTTCAGGGTGACCCATGGCCTTTGAAGGGTTCAAAGATGGGAGAACTGTTACCTTCTGGACAGAACGCCCGTAAAGCTTTTAAGGTGAATGATGCTGCAAAGGACGGACATGTGAATGCATGCGCACCAAGTGGCTCTTCTATATTGGACGCTGGGTCAAGGTCAAGGCCAGTTAAACTGAGCGCCGGCACAAAGCACATACTGAAGCCCAACCTGAAGAATTTGGATCAAGATAAGCCTATGCCCATCCACTCCACTGTCCCTTTCTCGTGGGAGGCAAGTTCGGGCAAGGTTCCAGCTCCTCAGGAGAAACCAGCAAGAATTTACCAGCTTTGACAAGGGTTCGGTACTCAACATCCCCGTTGTGGAAACGCCATCTGACCAGAAATCCATAGTGACGGAGGTGGTGGTGCTGATTCTGGTCGCCTGCTTCTTCTTTTACGGGGAGAAGAGCCCAAATCTGAGGCACAATGTTACCAGTTTTAGTAAGCCTCTGGTGTTCTGTCCGACTAGAAGTCCACTATGGTAGCAATGCTGCTGACCTTTCTGGTCGCCTGGAGGAGAATCCGGATCTGAGACTTGGGAGGCTGACTTTTTCATGACAAGTTCAGTCTTATGCTGCAAGCTTGATCGGGACATCGACGATGATACGCTGACCTTACGCTGTCACACTCAACCCCCCCCCCCCCGATTCCTTCGCGTAAACTGGCGGGTGCTCGATGAGAACCGAAGATGTTAATATTGAAATAGCCGTCTTCTGTTTTTCTTGCGCTGGATGTCGTTTATGTTGTAATCGGAACCGCCGAGACGGCGGGGCCATATTCGATGGTCTCCTGCAGATAATACGACGGCGGGGAGCTCCACTAGAACATCTTTTCACATGGAAAGAAACAAATCACAAAAGTTTGACCCGGCAATCTCCATGTTTTCCTCTCGGTGGTTGTTAATATCTGAATTGGTCGAATAGGGTAGTCCCAATCATGTCTGCTGGTCCGCTTGTTGTATTCCGTAAAGTCAACACGGTGCCTCCATTATTTGACTGTTTTAGGATTTCCGAATCAGTTTATCTTGAATCGGAGCCTTTAGGCTGGGCTGTTTCCTAGCTCTGCCGACGGCGGAGCCCCGTTTCTTACCTTGAATTGGTCAAAATACTCGGATTCTCTGGATGCCGTTCCCTCTCCGGTGCTGCGAACGCGCCCCCATCAATCCTTCTCTCTATAGTCTTGATGTTTCTGGCCATATGTCCGGCTGGCGTGGGAAAGATTCGAGTCAACGCCAAGATTTCTTTTTCGCGCTCATTCAGCTAAGTCACGTCCCAAATGTTGTGAATTAACCATCAGATTTATTTTATGGAATTCCTAGCGTTGAAATTATTAAAAATACTTGGCGTGTCCTTGGATTATTGTTAACACGAGAACTGCCCTCTCACTTTCATGCTCGCGGAATAGTCTCCGCCGCTTGTCTTCCCTTCGTTTATTCTTCGATAGCGGTGGCTCATATTTCATGGGGTAAGGCTTAAACCACCCCCGGTGGTCTATGTATATATTTTTATAGAAGAGAGAGAGAGACAGAGACAGAGACAGACAGACAGACAGAAAAGCACGTGCATTTAGTCATTTGGCCGCAGGGTGAGGACTGTTCGTCTTCCATTTGTTTATTCTTTGAACAACTGAGGTTCATGTTTCATATCCCTCGTAGAGAGAGAGAGAGAGAGAGAGAGGTACGTGCATGGGAAAACAACTGATACGTGAACGCCTTGGGAGACCACTTCTGTCGCAACGAAGGGGACTTCTTTCTTCCATTGTGAAAGGATCACCCGCTCTTTCGTCGGTGACTGAGAGAAGGTCTGCGACGGGAGGAACTTCACTGTCAAGCTTCAGTGAGTCCAATGGGCGGCCTCGTCTCGTTGTTCTTCACTATTTAGCGTCCACTTCGGCAACTCTTAGGGCAATCTTCACCTCACCGGCGCCACAACCTAGTCTTCGGGAGGACGTGCCACTTGCGTTCCAACATGAATCTGTCTTCTGAATCAATCTTATCCTCCCAGTCCAACTGGTTTCCGGTACCAATGGTTGGGGCAGCTCGTGAGAGGCCCTCGTCGTCGTCGTCACAATCGGAGCACAGGAGACTGATGAGCTTCCGCCGGCGTGTGGATGATCTGGGTTCATGAGTCGATGCTGATGCTTGTGGATCCCAGAGATGGCGAACAAGGTGCGGCTTGCGGATCGTCGGCGTCGCCGGTTGCCGGTTGCCGGTTTCCATGACGCGACTTGAGGGTGCCATGAAACTGGCCTCCGTATTGAGACGGCTTCTAAATTTTCACCGACTCGAACTATCAGAAACGGTGGAAAGGTGACCATGGAAATGGACAAGAATATGATCCAATTCCTTGGTCAAATGATAATATTCATACATATTGAAGGAAGTTAGTACGATAATGGATGTCTGTGCATGTATGCCTACAAGTGAAGGCATCCTAGAGTATAATGTTTATACGTTACGAAAGGGAAGGTTTAGCTCCTTGTTCTAAATATTTACACTACAATTATTCCTTTAAACCAGTGATGGTGTGCACAGATTAAGTAGTATCTCCATTCTGGTTTTAAACCAGTATCGAATGTTAATATCTTGTAAACGCTCATTAACATAGACTTGGTGTGTAATAGCTACGGTAGCAACGTAGGTTTTTACAATCCTCTTGAACTAGATAAAAAGCACTCATCTAAAAAATGTTACTAAATAGTACAAGCGTGTTCGAAATCAACATCATGCACACAAAGTATATGCGTACGTAACAGAGAACTGAGCGCATTTTGCCGCCTGTCAACTGAATAAACAAGTTATAAAGGAAAAGTGGATTCATTCACCCCCAAAGCACAAACTCGCATCTTTAAACCAAATCCTAAAAGGGACTAAAATCAGATGATTATAGATTACATTCATGATAAAGCTTTCCCCGCAGAGTTAAAAGTATTGGAATTGAAGAATTACGAGTTGAAAAAGAAGTAGTTAAGATGGCGTAGTTCTGCTTAATACATGAGGGGAAATCCGAGATCAATCTGTCGAATGCAAATGAAACGTTACGGCAGTAGATTGTGGTACCTCTATGGCTAAAAAATACTAAGAGAAAATAAGAGATCTTCAACGTCTCTACATAATATTTCTGTCCCTGCCCCTGCTGTTATGATGTTGTGGGTTCTTACAGAGGCGAGATAATGACGTGCAGAACGATGGGTAATCTTATGTAAGGTGGTAAATCTACGATGCCACATGTTTATTTTTTGTATAAGAGAAGATATTTGAGCCTTCTATGCTTTAAAAATTTCAAAGAGAAGATATATTTGAGATGAAAATGGAACAGATGAGATCTCGAATAGCTAGACCAAATCCTTTTTAACTCCAATATAGTACGTAAGATGGTGAAATTCATCTCTAATGGTCAAGATTTCTTTTAACGATTATCAATCTAAAACGGACACCAAAGTAAAAATACTGAACGATCTTAAGATAAATTGGTTCTTCACTCGGGAACAATCCTAATAGATTCTCAAAATCCTACAATCTACGGATATGATTTATTTTTATCATTCGCTTATCTAACATCATTTAGTTGGGAACTTCAATTTGATCCAGCGATGAACAACTTCTATATCCTCGTATATAAAAAGTTATCGACGTCAGTCGGCTCCTAAACTGCAGTTTTCCCCGTTCAAGAATGGAACTAAAAGAGTAATTTACGGAAATGCTTAGAGAATAATCGATCGGATGATCTACAGGTTCTGAGTTTCTCTTGAAGATTCAACTCTCGATCTTGACGAAGGATACTTTTACTTCGTGATATTCCACGGGAAAAGTCACGTAAAGGAGGAACCTTTTTACATGAATGAACAGCGAAGGAACTCGAAGCTCGAACTCTCCCTGATGCTCAGAGCGTAGTAAAGAAAGCACGTGCAGGAATTATTGCATACTTGTAGCTGGACACGGCATTTAATATCTTTGGCTGTTTGTCTTCCCTGTCGAACGACGCACACCCCAGGTTAGGAGGCAGGGCCCTGTCGTAGGTGCGCCCATTGGATTCAAAATCACATGCTCTTGACCCCACCATCGGCATGTTCAGATTACATTCTTCTGGCTCTATGTCTTCCTCTTTCACCCCCTTCTCTCTCTCTCTGACCGATACAACTACAATCTACCTTTATATATGATCACCATTTACTTTCGGATCTATCCGTCCGCTTCTCTTTGTGCTTTTTCTGCACTCTTTGCGGCAGCAAGAGCCTTCTTCTCTTCTTACCACTCGGATGCAGAAGGCGATGCTTGGGGGAGGGCTGGGCTTGTGATGGCTATGCAAAAGAGAACTAAGGCCTTCCTTTTGCACCAGAGCCCACACTTCCCACGTGACGTTGTCCTTTCGAGCGAGAAAGGGAGGAGAAAGGAAGAAATGGAAGATCAGAGAAGGGGAAACTCCGAGATAGAGGGGAAGAGCCATGTGATCCAGAAGCGCCATTTTCCTCGGTGCTTTGCGTGTAGGTCTGATCGCGAACAGCCGCTTCATGTGCCCAAGACGATGTGGGAGGTCGAAGGGGCAGGAAAGCTTCTTTCTCGATCTCTGTCTCTTTGTCTGTCTCTCTCCTCAAACACGGTCGGTTGAATAAATATTGTCCAGCAGCGAATTCACGTGAGTGGCTACTAAGTGCCGTACCCGTGCCCTTCTCTCTTTCTCTCTCTTTATCTCTCAGATTCGTGTTGACGTCTGCATGGCGGGATGGTCATCTGTTCCATGGATGTAATGATGTACCGTCGTAACATGCTATGCCATGAACACATGATACATCATCACTTTCGGTGGGGCCGCCAGAAGAGAGATGGATACATAGAGAGCGTCTCCTACTTTTCCGTTCTTTCTTTTCTGCCCTTTAGTTTTCCTTTGTCTCGAGGAGTTCCACCGCGGGAATCACGACAGGTCAAATCAGATCTCGTCTCTCGCCTATGAAACCTCATCGTCATCCTAAGATCGCCCGCCGCTCCCCCTCCATGTTTCGGGGGAGCAGAAAAGTCTAGTCTAGCGTCACCTAGCTTACTGTTTGTTCCCACCGCTTTCCACCACTTCTTTACAGAAAGCGCCGGCAGAATTATTGTCCATGTGAATCATCAAAGGCAGGCGCCTCCGTGATCAAGCACCTGGCAATGATAGGGAACATATTTTCCCTCCTCTCTGCATCAGTAGGCGCACTGCGCAGACTGCCCGTCGTCATTTCTTCCTAGAACTGCGTGATTCACCAGCAAGACCTCCCCAATCTTCATGAAGCTCCACCTCCCGCCATCAGAGGTCCAAA